CCATGCTGGTTAATGCCCTTTTATTTTCATAATGCCTAATTACCTATAGCAAATTCTTCCTAGTTTACCTAATACTGTTCCTGCTCTAGTTTATCCTATACATAATGGGGACCATAATAAAATAATTTCACAGAGTTGATAAATGGATAAATGAGACACGGCATGCATATTGGACCTATTTTGTACATATGCCCACTATATCTTTGGAGAATCACCTCTTGGCCGTGTCCTCTGGTACCAGACTTCATCAGACTATCACATCTTTCCAGCCACAATTCTCAGCTCAAGTTGGCTGAGAGATTGCAGGAGACAGCACCCTGATGACACAATTTGAGTCTCTGGTTGACTTTACCCTGCCTAAAGCTGGATGTACCCCTGGACTTTCTGGTTATGAGAGTCAATAGATTTCCTTTATTAAGTAAACTAGCTTGAGTTCGTTTTCTAAGTGCAATGAAGATTTTTGATAAATACAGTATGTCAAGCACTAAGCACAGTCTCTTGCATACAGCATGCTATTTTATTGTCCTCATGCCCTTCCCATACCTCATATTCAATTCAACCTTTTCTATCTTAACATCTATCTGCCCATACAGACCAGCTAGGATAATTTCCTTATTATTTCCTGGCTGGGCTGCCCTGTCACCAACCTAATGATGTCATTCTATGCTCTTTTCACAATCCACATCTACCACTATTGAGAACTTGGCTGAAAGGAGCTCCCCATCCTCCATTTGAATAACGGTGGCTTCACACTGTTCACTGCTTTATCTAATTTCTCCTGCATGTGTTTTCTAGTTATTTCTAGCTTGCTTCTTGACTCAAGGCAAGGAAAAATATATTTTTTCTTTACATCTGATCACTGCATCCTTTCTAGGTTGAGATTTGGTCATTATTTTTCAAAGCAACTTGTACAGTTTTGGACACACCATAGGTGTTCAATAAGTGTCTGTTATAGGAGCAAAGGAATGGAATTAAATTTAGAGGGTGTGGTATTCAATTTAAAGCCTGTTGTTAGCCCAGCTAAACTTTTTCCTTTTTCTAAGCAAACTTTATATTCTTAAACCATTTTCATTACAGCATAAAAATATCACAGTGATTCCAACCTCCAACATTCTTCCCATTTATGGTTTCAGAATTCTTTTAGCCAAGGTCTAAGGAAGGAATATTCTATTAAAAATAATTTAACAATCAATCAAAGCCTATTTTCTTCTCATGATACATATTTTATTAATTCAGTGGGTATTGCATCTGATCCTTCAGAGGTTTCTTGCCTTGCTAAACTAATGATAATAGTAAAGTGTTAACAAAGATATCCTGAGATGCTGAAGAAAACAAAATTTGGGGGAAACTTTTTGTATTCATGTTTCCTGTTTAGTTCTAAATGGTAAAACATTCTCCTACTTCAAATAAGCTAGTTTTACTTAGAAATGCAGGATTCAAAAAAACTACTATTTGGAATCAAGGTCTGTGCCTCTGTTTGTTGAAACTTATGTGCTGTATGGTTTAATGGAAAGGCCAAGGGCTGGTGAATTTAAACTCTTTAAAAGAGCTAAAAATTAAAGTGAATTAAATTTAGTGCCTCTGGGATTTTTGATACATGTTCCAAATTTGTTTTTAATGACATAATTGTTCCATGTTACATTTAAGATTACATCATAGTGAACTGGTTATGTGTGCACTTACACCAACAGAAACCAATTCCAAATGTCAAAAATAAAAGTAAAGACAACTGTAATGCTACCGTTAAGAAAGTGGAAGTTGAAAACAGAAGAGAAACACTTAAGTTGAATAAGGTCTTACTGTGAAAGCTTTGAACAGAAAAACGTGGAAATCATATGTATTAGGTTAACTTAATGTATTTCAACAGCATTTAAATCATTATTTTACTTACTATTACAAGTGGAAACCAATGCATTTTCTCAAGGTATTTATTAATTAATTTTAGTGGAAAAAGATAGCTCCCAATCACACAAATGGGAACTGTGCTTAATAAATTTTGAGAACACCCATCAAGAAATAAAAGTTCCTTGTCATATGTATAAATCGTTATATTTCACGTTTTAAAAGAACAAGAAATGAAATTCAGCATTCTTCTTTCTATTAGTCTTCAGTGGTTTTTTTTTTTAACTAAAGTAATTGTAATATTCTCTTGCCTCTGGGGCTTTCTCTTCCACAATTAATCATCTTTTCTTCCACACCTTCCCTCCAAATGATTATTCCCCCTAGCCTTAGAACACTTGACATCAATTCATGCTATTTCATCTTCACAGCTTTCAAAACATTGCCTGCCCTTGCTTAGTTCCACAAGCCACTCCCTTTTCTTTTAAAAATCGGTTAACAGAAGTATTTCTGCTATCACTCTGGCAGAAGGTGCTACCATGTAATTGGAAAAAAGAATCTTTGTAATACAAATTAGCTTCCTGACTTTTATCAAACTTTCAAATTCAAAACACAATATATTTAAATTCCTTAGGATAATGAACATCTATATTTCAAAACTAGTAGTACGTTCAGTTTAAATATTTGGAAGACTTGGACCCTAAGACTTTATCCTTCATCCTCTGACACTACAATCTGTGTCCTTAATCATCAGAACCAAGCAAGAAATCGTGAAAGTCTCACCAAGCTACACCACTAGCGCCGGCAGAGGAAACGCTTTCAAAATATGTCATTCATCTTCACATTTAAAGGCAGTCTATCCATACATCCTTTATAAACATCATTCAATATTGGTGCTTAAGACTTCAGTGATAGGAGGTAAGTTTTGCGATTTATAGGCAAAAGAGGGGGTGGCAAAGGCGACCTGTTCTCTTCTTAAATCTATCAAAACCAAAGCCGTCTGATTACATCTGAAAGTCTGAAGTTGCCATGTGTCAAGCATCTTTTAGAAAGCTGCTTATTGCATTAAATTAACCGACTCCTAGCCAAATCACGTTTAAGGAGTGTTTCCCATGTCTGCAGTGACAAACGAGTTACAAAACGTCCTTACACAGACTGTCAAACTTTTATGTTTACTCTTTTTAAACAGAAGGGAGAGGATGGCACACAACGAAAAGTCACGTCTGTGTCTTAAGAAGGATGTCTTGTGGGGAACAAGACGCTCACCTGTACACAACAGAGGCAGGTCTTTCCCGGCTGTCCTCACTGGGGGAGGGGACGGGCATCGCTAGACCTTTGTCCTCCGGACCTGAGCACCGGGGGCGGAGAGGGGGCAGCTTTCTGGGGGTAGGGCAGGCACCTGCACCCCAAGAAACTACAGACTGGTTTTGACTTCAATGACTGCCTTGGCTTAACCTTTGGAGGGGTCCTCTAGCTCGGGGAGGGGGTTTGTTGCCCCAAACCGTAGCCACCTCCCCCGCAGCGACAGGGGGAGGGGACGACCGACCACCCTGAAGAGTTGGGGCCCCCGTCTCCCCCAACTAGACCCGAACGTCCCCAGCTCTCCTGCGGGGCTCGCCCGGGATGAGCAGGGGCCGCGGCGGGCGCAGACCCCGTCTCGGCTCCGCGCCCCAGCCGCGTCCGCACCGCCACCGTGAGGCCGAGCAGGGGACGGTGCCCCGTGGCGGCGGCGGCTCCGCGCTCCTCTCCGCGCCGCCCCGGCCGCCGGCGCGCCGGGCACAGGCGGGGGGATTTTTTTCCCGTTTCCCCCTCTTTCGCGCTCTTGCTTCTGTTCGGCGGGAGAGCCCGCGGAGCCAGGGAGGGAGCGAGGGAAGGGGTGGAGGTGGCGGGGGGAGGCCGGAGGGGCGGATCCTGCCTGGGGGCTGATCCCTCCCTCCCCTCGGCCGGGCTCCGTGGCGGCAGCGGCGGCGGCGGCGGCTCCATTCCCCCTCCTCCCCCGGGAGCGGCGGCGGCGGCCGGGCCGGGGCCCCAGCGCGGGCCGGGAGGGGGCACGGCGGTGGCCGCAGAGGCCAGCGCGGGAGGAGGCCGCGCTCCGCTCCCCGGGCCGCGCGGACCTGCTCGACGGCCGGCCCGCCCGCGCCCAGGGGCCCCGATCGGTGGGGCCGGGCCGGCGGCTGAGGTAATGGGGGCGGCAGCGGGGCCCGACAGGGCGGGGGCGGGGGCAGCGGGGCCTACGGGGACCAGGGACTGCGTGCGGGGGGAAGGGAAGCGGGGGCTCCCCGAGCGGGGTGGGGGCGGCGCGAAAGCTCTCTCCTGGAGCGAGGGCGGCGGCAGAGAAGGAGAAGGCGGGTGAGGGGGGGGAGCTGAAAAGCGAGGACCCCCTCCCGCAGCCGCCATCTTGTTTTCCTCCCCCCGGCCCTGGAAGCGGAGCCGCCGAGCCCCGCCCCCGCCACGCGTTCCAATTGGTCAGGCCCGAGGAGAGTTCCACCCCCTGGAGGTCCCTTGGTACCCCGGTTCCTCCTGACGGGCAGGTGAGGCAGCCAATGGGCGCTCGCCTCTCTGCCCCGCTCGTTCTCTGGCGCTAGCTTTCTCTGTCTGAGGGTCGGACTCCGCGTCAGGCTGTCTCTGGCGCGCTCGCCGCCTCCCTTGTGGGGAGGTGATGTTATTTCCCTCCTTTCTCCTTCTCCGAAGGGTCAAGATTCTTCTGGAAGAGGTGCCCCTTTAAAGGGGCAGGAACCAGGGCTGGGGTCCTCCCTTGTCTCCTGAGTATCTCGTCGGGGGGAGTATCTTGAGGAGGGGGGATACAGTCTAATTTCAGAAACTCCTTCTTCGGGGACCTGGGTGGGGTGGGTGAGTGGGTGCTCAGGACGTGCCGAGGAGACCTCTGGGGGGTGTTGGAGTTATTTGGAGGCGTGTGTGTGGGAAGGGCTGTGTGGGATGAGAAACTCCCGCCAAAAAACTAGACTGTAAGCTCCTTGTGGGCGAAACTCATTTCCTTTTCCGCCGCAGCAGCCCTTTCCCCTCTAGAGTTTGCACCCAGCGTCTGGAGGCTTCAGGAGGTCTCCACAGATAACGTGCTGTTTGGTGGAGAGTCACCCGGGCTGTGAGGAGGTAGCAGGTAGGGAGGAAGGACACACAGTGGCTTTAACAAAGGAGGGGCCACACCCTCTCTCTCAACTATTTGAAGTTAGTAGGTACTGAGGTGGATTGTCACAGCTCTGCGAGGGTCTCCCTGCCCTGGAGGGGTGGGGGCGACAAAGCAGGTCTCTTGGCCTGGGCTGCCCCCAGGGAGTTGGCTTTTGTCAGGCATGTAGTGGCCAAGAGGCTCTGGAACCTGGACAGGATTGCTGTGATGATTCTGTTTCCTTCGGTTCCAAATGGGGTGTGTGCCCGCCTGGCACTGTTCCTCAGCCAAGTTGTTTGTTTGTTTGTTTCAGTCACACTTTGGCATTGGAAGGCCTTTTAACTAAGGATGTTAATAATATCTTATTAACAAATAGCAACCCTTAAGAGGTGGCTTTTATTAATTTCATTTTACTGAGGGAGGATGGAGACACAGAGAGATTGTGACTTTCTCCGGATCACCTGGGGCCGAGATTAGAACCTGGATTGCCCCAGAGCCTCTTTTTATACTGGACCCTGGCATCTCTGTGGTGTTCTTACCTCCTAGTGAGATGAGTTGAGCAGATCAGAAGATCCGGGTTGAACTGTAGCTTTGGCACTGACTAGCTTTGGTTTGAGTGACACCTTTCTGAGCTTCTGTTTCTTCATCTGTAAAATGGGAATGATATCTATTCTACCTCTCAAGCTAGTTATGCGAAATATTAAAAGTAAAAGGGCTTTGTAGTTTGTAAAAGTGTGCCAAGTTATCATCATCATCTCTGCTTTGTAAAGATGGTAGATCCCACAACCAAGGTGACAAACTCTTTTTCTCCTTGAAATCCTGTCTCTGTTCATGCCCTTCCAAGTTCCTGCCCACACCGTGGGGCACCAGATCGCTAAAGGTCTTTCCTGGTAGTGATGGCCTCAGTAACTGCCTACCATAGCTCCTTATGAGCTTGTCAGGGTTCCTTCCATCCAGAGAATGATGTGGGAAACTTGAGGGCTTTCTCTGCTGCACAAAGGTAGACTAGGTATAAGTATTTTGGGAGAGGGGGACTTTTGAGGTAAGGATGCTTTGAGATTTTACCTGAGATATTGCCCCAGTCGCCTTGGCCTTAGGTCCAATGAGGATCCCAGATAGGCAACTTACAACTTCACTGCCACTTGGGGTCACTCCCAGAGCTTCCAGGGTTTCTGTTTAGTGGTGTATTAGCCAGTGCATCCTGAATGCTGCCCTTTGCAGAGAAAACCCTGCATGCTGTAGTTTGAAGTCCTTAGACTGAAGGTGATAGACATTTCAGGCGCCTTCACCCTTTCACCCCTGGGCAAGGTCAGGGGATAGGATTTCTAATCATGGTGAGATGGGTTGCGAGAGGGCTCTAGACCTGTGAATTTTTGATCCTCTGATCGGGCCACTGTTCACGTACAGAGCTTGAAAGTGGATGCTGTTCTTGTTTTCTTCATTTCCACCCCCTTTTTCATCGTTAGCTGTCCCACAGCCTTATGCACATCATTAGAACGTTAGATCTCTCCCTGTGTTGCATTGTAATGATCTGTTTATTTTTCTGTCCCTTTGGTCAGATAGAGCTCCTAGAGGGCAGGGATCATGCGTGTTTGATTTCTTTCATTCAGCTTTAGGAGCTAGGCACCATTCCAGGTGCTGGGGATACAGCAATGAACAAGACAGGCAAAATTCCTCCCCTCATGGAGCTTCCATTCTAGTGGAAGGAAGCGAACATACATGATAAATAGTAAATTACATAGCACAGTAAAAAATGGTGAGTGTTATAGTGAAAAATAAAGCAGGATGAAAGATTGCTGGTGGGGGAAAGGGATTCGCAGTTTTAGATAGAATTGTTGGAGAAGGTCTCACTGAGAAGCAGTGTTTGTGGGAAGAACTTGAAGGAGGTGAAGAAGCAAGCCCTGTGGCTGTCTGAGGCGCAGGATGTTTAGAAAGAGGGAATAGCCAGTCCTCCCGGTGGCCACTTGCTCAGCTGGAAGGGTGAGTGAATGCATGCATGCCTGATCATCCAGCTCACAGTCTCCTGGCCTTCTTTCCTTAGGCCTGTCCCCTTGGTTCCCAGGTGCCATGAGGAAGCCTCGCCGGAAGTCGTCACGGCAGAATGCCGAGGGCCGGCGCTCCCCATCCCCTTACAGTCTGAAGTGCTCACCCACCCGGGAGACCCTAACATACGCCCAGGCCCAGCGGATCGTTGAGGTGGACATTGATGGACGCCTGCATCGTATCAGCATCTATGATCCACTCAAGATCATCACAGAAGATGAGCTGACTGCCCAGGATATCACTGAATGCAATAGTAACAAGGAAAACAGTGAGCAGCCTCAGTTTCCTGGCAAGTCTAAGAAACCCTCATCCAAGGGCAAGAAGAAGGAGTCCTGTTCCAAGCATGCGTCCGGCGCTTCCTTCCACCTCCCACAGCCCAGCTTCCGCATGGTGGACTCAGGCAGCCAGCCAGAAGCTCCGCCGCTGCCTGCTGCCTACTACCGCTACATTGAGAAGCCACCTGAAGACCTGGATGCAGAGGTAGAGTATGACATGGACGAGGAGGACCTTGCCTGGCTGGACATGGTGAATGAGAGGCGGCGAGTAGATGGGCACAGTTCGGTGTCAGCAGACACCTTCGAGCTGCTGGTGGACCGGCTTGAGAAGGAGTCATACTTGGAGAGTCGCAGCAGCGGGGCCCAACAGTCACTCATTGATGAAGACGCCTTTTGCTGTGTGTGCCTGGATGACGAATGCCACAACAGCAACGTCATTCTCTTCTGTGACATCTGCAACCTGGCTGTACACCAGGAGTGCTATGGCGTTCCCTACATCCCCGAGGGTCAGTGGTTATGCCGCTGTTGCCTGCAGTCTCCCTCCCGGCCTGTGGATTGTGTCCTCTGCCCCAATAAGGGTGGCGCCTTCAAACAGACCAGCGATGGGCACTGGGCCCATGTGGTATGTGCCATATGGATCCCTGAAGTCTGCTTTGCAAACACCGTGTTCCTGGAGCCCATCGAGGGCATTGATAATATCCCACCTGCCCGCTGGAAACTAACCTGCTATATCTGCAAGCAGAAGGGGCTGGGTGCTGCCATCCAGTGCCACAAAGTGAACTGCTACACGGCTTTCCATGTGACGTGTGCACAGCGGGCTGGGCTCTTCATGAAGATCGAGCCCATGCGTGAAACCAGCCTCAATGGCACCATCTTCACAGTGCGCAAGACTGCTTACTGTGAGGCCCACTCACCACCAAGTGCTGCCGCTGCTAGGAGGAAGGGCGACTCCCCTGGAAGCCTCGGTGAGGCTGGGGACGAGGAAGGGCTGAAGGAGGGCTGTGGGGAGGAGGAAGAGAAGGAAGAGGTGAAAGAGGAGGAGGAAGATGAAGGCCAAGGCGGGGTAGGTGGCCAGCTCAAAGGAGTGCCCAAGAAGAACAAGATGACTTTGAAGCAAAAGATCAAGAAGGAGCCAGAGGAAGTGGGCCGAGACACGCCCTCCACTCTCCCCATGGTCACTGTCCCACAGATACCCTCTTACAGGTGAGCCTGCCAAGGAGGGCTCCCCAGGGACTCACGGTTTCTTCCTGGGCTGGTGTTGGCCCTGAGCCAGGCCTCCTTCCCCAAGCATGGTTGGTGAATATCTGTTCTCTTCTGTGCCCTCAAATTTAGACTTCTCCTTTGGACCCTGGGCTGGCCTGGTCTGGTTTGTGGTTTTGATTGTGTCCTCAGAGCAATGTATTTCCTTTGGTTCAAGGTGAGACAAACACTTAATTTACTTAGAAACCCAGGTGACGGGATGTCTAAGGGACTATTTTTCAACAGGGGCACAAGTGGCATTTTGGACAGGATGATTCTTCATTATTAGGACTGTCCCATACATTTCTCAATGTTTAGCATCCCTAGTCTTTGTAAACGCCATTTCCATCCCCTCCCTTATTGCCTGGTCTTTGTGACAACCTCAAATGCCTCCGCACATTTCCAAAAACTGCTGTGGGGATAGAACTACTTCCAGTGGAGAACCACTGTTTCAAGGGGTCGGTATGGGAACATGCTGTCCAGAAAGCTCTGTCCTGAGAATGATGGAGACTTTGTGTGAGAGGGTGGTGGTGTGGGGAGGACATGCTATTCCTCCTCTTGAGAAGCTTTTAGATTTAGGAGAAAGAGCATCACTCAGTTCAGCTGTGTAACTCAGCCACTTTGGCCCCACTGAGTCTGTAGAGAGACCAGCACCTGTTTTAAACCATCAGCGAGGTAAGGAGCTGTTCGAGGGATGGGAGCTTGGTAGAGAAGCAAGAGACAGGGAAGATGTTCCAGCAGACTCATCTCAAGGGTGATTTTCCTTAAAAAGTATGCAGTGTTAGAGCAGGAAGGAATCTTGGAGATTATTCATCTAATGTAGTCCTTGCACCTTCTCCCACCCCCAGATGAAGAAACTGCGGCCACGGGAGGTAAAGTTGTTCACTCCTTTATTCATTCAACGAGATGTTTATTGAGCACTTACTATATGCCAAGTCCTGTTCTGAGGGCTACAACCAGGTGGAAAGCGACAGACTCTGGACCACAAGCTGGGGCTCATGACGCCTTTAGGTTCTGTTCCTGCTGTCTGTCTCTCTAGATGGAAAGGATAGTGAGAAAGGAGTACTGGAGGGTAGTGGGGAATGAGTTGTGTGAGGGGAACAGGCAACCAGACTTGTCAGTCTGAGAAGACACGAGAGCAGAGAAGATCAGGAGGAAGAGGCCTTGTTGCGAGCCATGGCTGGAGTTAGAATTCAGGTGACTGGTAAGGTGTCTTCTAGTCATAGAGCAATCTAAGCTACCCTCTTCCCTGAGGTGAGTGCTTAGTCCATGCTTAGTGAGTGAGGGTCCATGCTTAGTCCTCATCCTGTCCTGGGGCTAGATCTTTTGGTTGTCATATCTGTTCTTGTAGATGTCTTTTGCCGGGCCCAGCATAGCAAGCTGGCTAAGAACCAGACAGACCTGCTTCTATTACTAACTACCTGTGTGACCCTTGGCAAGTTACTTAACTTCTTTAAGCCTTAGTTTATTTACTTGTAAATGAACTGACCTCATAAGGTTGCTGTGAGAAATAAATGAGATGATATAAGTAGAGCACTTAGCACAGTGCCTGGCAAATAGTAAGCGCTCAATAAACGGTGGCTGCTGCTGCTGCTATTTTATTATTATTATTCTTTACCTGCACAAATGCTGTTGGGACCCTCCACGGCCAAGAGGTTGTAGAGGGAGGGGGCTGCCTGCATCTGGGCAGGTGTGCTTGGCATGGGCATTGGTTGGGGATCTGTTCTTTGGGGGAAAGGCCTCGGCCTTGATTTTGTAAGCTTGGCTTTGGGGCAGGAATGTCTGACCGTGGGAAGGCACAAGGCCTTGGTGAGCAATGTTCAGCCCAACATGCCCATCCTTCTTAGGTTTCACCTTCTAGTTTAGCCACGCTTATCTTCCTTTCAGTGGAGTGAGATGAAGAGGAAAAGTGGAGGAAACACCACAGGAACACTGAGGCCTTGCTTACCCTGTGGATAGCCAACTTTGGGACACAGCATGGTGTGACAAAGAGATTATGGATTCAAATCCCATTCAGCTCCACCATCTTATTAGCTACATTAGTGACTTTGACAATTTATTCAGCCTCTGTTCCTAAGCTGCCTTTCCATCTTTTGTAGCATGGGAATAATGTTACCCACCTTGCGTATGGGCATTAGGATTCAGATTGTCGGTTCTCATTAATTCCTTTTTACCCCATTCCCTTCCCCTCACTTGTTATTGGCTTAAACCCTGACCTTAAGACTTCTCTTTTGGGGTAGGTTAGCCAGCTAAGTTTTCAGATTCTTCATCCCCTTATACCTTTAGATCCAATTTTTTTTCATTTGGTTCAAAATTAGAGATTTTTGGGCTACTGAGGTTTTTAATGAAAAGTCAGAGGTCAGACAACTCCAAGTGGTTGCGTTTGGGCTCGGAAAGCGATAGCCTGCTGCACTGCTACTAGTTTTCCTTCCAGCTTGGCTGTGGACTACTCCCTGGTCTAGTGGGACCCTCAGCCACAGGGGGCAGGAAATAGTGATCACATTGCCCATTGCTTACTCAGGTTCCTGTTCTCTTTTGCTGCCTTTATCAAGAGAAGGGTAGGGGGTGTTGGGGGTACAGGCCTGTTTCTCAGGAGTCCAGGACCGCAGGAAACAGGGTTTCTGGGAGAGGGTATTTTGGAGGATCAGGACTGCAGGCAGGAGATGGAAAATCAAGCGAAATATCTTATGCTGAATCTGAGCTGCTTAACTTCGCTGTCCTTTTCAAGTCTTTCTCTGAGGTGAGGCCTTTGGCCACTTTATTCTGTCTCGCTCTGTAAGGTTCAGAAATGAACCAGGGTCTGGATAGGAGGCTATAATCTGGGCTGCACACTGACCCTGTCTTTCACTTCCCTGTGCCTCTACTCAAGGTTGAACAAGATCTGTAGTGGTCTCTCCTTTCAGAGGAAAAACCAGTTCATGCAGCGGCTTCACAACTACTGGCTGTTGAAGCGGCAGGCACGGAATGGTGTCCCCCTCATCCGACGCCTGCACTCCCACCTGCAGTCTCAAAGAAATGCCGAGCAGGTAGGTGAAGTGGTGATGTGAGGGTACTGGAGGGAGGTGAGTGAAGGAGAAGGAGTGGTGGTTGGAGCAGCCCTCCCTCAGCCCTCTGCGGAGCCTTTGCCTATAGGCGATCGCCCCTTTAGGTGGTCTGTCCCAAGAACAAGCTGCAGCACTGTAGAGCTCTTCAGACCAGACAGCAGCTCCTTCTGGATGGGAGAAGCCTGACTTCGGAGAAAATTCTAGGAGAGAGCGGAGAGCAAGGCCAACTTTCCATATATGTGGGGAATACCCTTTAGATATGGCAGAAAGGAAGAGTGGGCTGACTGAGAGCCAGGTGGCCATGGAGCATGAGTTAAGAAAAGGCCCACTTTCCTCCAGATACTGTATGCCAAAAAGGTTTCATAGGAAATTCACAAATTTGCCATCTAAGTTATAGCGCACAGCCTGCCCAATCGTGGTGGCCTTTTAGCCATTGGCAACTTGAGTTGCAGCATGGTTAGTGTTTTCTGAGATGGTGGAGGCCTCCTGAGACACTTTAAAAAAAAAGTCTTTAGTTCTCTCTCCCTCATCCCTTGCTCCATTACTTCCACCTTTAAACATTCCTACACCACTACTCTAGAGAGGAAGCAAACGTTTATGTGACTGGTGCCTGCTGTGTTCTGTCTGATTTCACTTGTGCCTTTTGTAACTAAAGTCCTGAAGAGCAAGTCTATTTCTGGTCCCTTCTTGAAACGGTCCACCCCCACTCCTCTGAAGTCTTCCCTAGAGCATCAGCGACCTCCTCCCAGCCCAGTAAGTCTTTCCTCAGATTCTCACCTTATGGACCTTTGGGCTGCATTTGATACCACGGATCACCTTGTCTTAGAGCTTCCCTCTGACACCATTTCCCACCTCTTCCACCTCACTGATTGCACCCTGTGCTGGTCCCACTTACTACTCATTAATGGTAACATTTCCAGGGGCTCTGTGGTCTGCTCATTCACTTGGAGAGCTTGTTCACTCTCCTACTTGTAAATAACTGTGTGGCAGTTGCTGCAGTTTTCTCATCTTGTCCTCATCCCTTTTTTCCTGCCCTCAGTCCATCTAGAGCAGAGGAACTATAGATGTTGGAAACTGAATTCATTATTTTTCTTTCTCTCTGGAAACATATTTCCCCATTATTGTCATGGAACCTTCTCCCTCCTGACCTCAGATGTTCCCCACCTTGGAATTATTATTGACCCTTTCTTCCATAACGAGCTTGATCATCTCCTAAACTGTTTTGAAGGATCTACCAGTATATGGCCCTTTGTCTCCATTCTACAGCTATCCTGCTCACCCATGCCCCCTTAATTTCAGCAATAGCTTTCTAGGTGGTCACCAGCCTGTAATTCTTTCTTTGCTCTACAAGTGGTAATGTCTTATACACCACTTCCCATCCTGTCACTTCCTTTTCCAGAATTTATTCCACATCTCCAGGCAGGCCACATCCAGGCTCTTTTGCCTGGCGTTTGAGACTTCTTGCCAGCTGGATCCTGGGTCTTCCTCAGCTTTTGTGGTTCTCTAGCTTCCTTGCTCTGGCCTGCCTATATTTTTCACCAAGCAAAGAATCAGTAATTCTCCTTTCACACTTCTGCCTTGTGGTCCCTTCAGTTCCAAAAGAGGCCTTCTTCACTGCTTTGTTCATCCATGTGCATCACTACATGTGAAGCCCTAGTAAGATTGCTTTCCCCAGGAAGCCTGCCCTGACCTAAGCCCAGCCCACTCAGATCCTCTATTTTATATCCTTTCAGTATTTTATATTCAGTTTTCCTGATTAGTTTTTGTCTTTGTGCTCCTATGCCCTTCTGTGTCAAACCTTGGGCCTCTTTCTTCCCCTTCTAGGGCAGGAATCTTGTTTTTGGTGGTGGTGTTTTAAAGTATGTTCAACTCAGTTATTACAAGCTGGTAGTAAGAACTTCACTTTGTTTTCTAGCCAAGTCAAAGCTCTAGGGTGACATTCTTTCCACCCTGAGGTGTCTATTAGTTTCCTTCTGAAATTCTTTCCAGCCCTAGGGGCACAGCTGCTCTCTGGTATCCCCAGGGGTAGGGAGAAGCAGTCTCAGATCTCAGCAATGGTTATTGTGCTGTAGTGCAGAAACATTGTCAAAAGGCTGGGGAATCACAGGAGGAAGGTGTGAGGTGGCGAGGGAGTGGGAGGACTCTCAGGGACCGTGAGTCAAGGAAAGGGACGAGGCTGTTACCTACCAAAGCCCTGTGAGGCCTGAACAGGGAGAGGACTTTGGGCAGGAAGGAGGCCCCCAGCTCCTCCTTCCTTTCCCTTCCCTCTTGCAGCGAGAGCAGGATGAGAAGACGAGTGCAGTGAAAGAAGAGCTGAAATACTGGCAGAAGCTCCGACACGACTTGGAGCGGGCACGGCTGCTGATTGAGCTGATTCGGAAAAGAGAGAAGCTCAAACGGGAGCAGGTGAGGAGGACCCCAGCCCCAAGGCTCTTGTTCAGGGTCTTTTTCTCCCACTGTCAGTGTGGCATCAGGAGACCCGGGAGCCCCTGCCTGGTGTCAGCTTTCTGCCCTTCCTGTTCAGTACTATGGGTTCCGAGGCCCGCCTGCTCTGCATTGGGTGTGGTACTGCTCATAGCTTCTAACTTTGGGGGTTCAGCTTCTGGTGGCCTCAAGCATAAGCCTAATTTCAGATGCCTGGGCCCATCCCTGGAGTTTCTGACTTAGGAAATCTCAGGGGGAGCCTAGCCTCGAGTATTTTGAAAAGCTTCTCAGGCCTTTCTGATGGACATCACCTCTGGCCTGGCAGCTTCTGAGGCTTCCCACTTGGCCTTTAAACACTTATGGTCTTAAGTCATTTAAATTTTCTAACCTCTGTTCAAGGAGATTCTAAGCCTCTGAGCATGGGAAATGTTGAGATAGGTAGTATAGGCTAGGCGTTAGAATTAGGAGCTATGGCACCAGACTGCCTGGGCTTAAATCCTGGCTCTGCCACTCATGTGACATTGAGTAAGTTGCTTAATCTCCTTATACCTCAGATTCCTCGATTGTAAAGTGGGGGTAATGATAGAACCTACCTCATATGGTTGTTGTGTGGATTAGATGACTTAGTATATATAACGGCCTTAGAACAGTGCCTGGCATATAGTAGGGGCTGTAGAAGTGTCAGCTGCTGTCATCATCATTGATACTCTTGTCTCTCTGAAGTGACTACTGCAGTGCTCTGCACATGGCAGGGAGTGAATACTATTAATTGAATGGATGATGAGCCAAAACTGTTCTCTCTGGTCCAGGAATAGCAGCTGTTAACTCGCATGCTTCAGAGGCCTGGGTTAAAGATGTTTCTTTCTCTTTTTCTCCAGACTCCACTTGACTGTTTAGCCCCAGCACGAGCCCTTCTCTCACAGGCCAGTAGCCTGAGTTTCCATCTCTGAAACGAGGCAGCTCTTGCCATCCTTTGCATGGGTGAACATGGGGGGCATCTCAGGACCTACTCCATGGATTCAGACTGTCTGTGCTATCCCAGGCCTGGTCCCACAGCTGAGCCTTTCTCTTGCCTCTGATTCAGAGAAACGAAAGGGAAAAGGAGCAGACAGGCCTGTTTTAATGTAGCCAAGAGGCAGGAACTTTTCATATTCTAATCCATGGCTTCCTAACCTTTTCACATTAGGGCAGACATAGAAAATGCATAACACTGTAAATATGTGAGGCTGCTTGCTGCCTGAGGTGGTGAGCCTGGGGCCCCGGTCACCCCGGCTGACCCACACACCCCAAGGGGCAATAGGATCAATTTCTTAGCACACTAGGTGGGAATTCTGAACCAAGACACATTTTAGATCATCGGTGTGCTCCTTGGACTAAGTCAGACCTGGGTTCAAATCCTGTCTCTGTTGTTTTCTAGCTAAGTGACATTGGGTTAGTGACTTCTCCTCATACTCTTTCCAGACCTCAGATTCTGTATTTGTAAAATGGGAATGATAATAGTTTCTCCTTCAGGGTTATTGTGATTAACTGAGGTACTATAAGTAGAGAGGCAATGTGGCATAGTAGTCAAGAGCATACACTATGGAACCCGAGTATCTGGGACTGAGTCCCAACTTTGCCTCTTACTGGCTGCATGATCTTGAGCCAGTCAGGTATTTAGTCTCTCTGTGCCTCAGTTTCCTCTCTGTAAAATACCTCATCTGTACCTACCTCATGTATTCATTTGTTTTATGTAAAATGCTTAGAATGTTAATTGGCACTTACTAAGGACTATAAAAGTGTTAACTATTGTAATTATTATTACTGTAAGTTTTGGTATGGTGCCTGATGCATAGGAAACCTTCACAAAGTGGTAGCTATTGGTATTATTCTAGGTTGAGGGTTGGGTGATAGCTCCTCATATACTGGTCAGCTTAATACCCTGTGAAAATTTGTTGCACATGATTAGTGAAAGTCAAGTTATCAAGAAAAAGTTCAGTGCCTCTTCACAGGGAGTGTCCTGGTCTCTCCCCACCTCCCCCACAGGTCAAGGTCCAGCAGGCTGCCATGGAGCTGGAGCTGATGCCGTTCAATGTTCTACTGAGGACAACACTGGACTTGCTGCAGGAGAAGGATCCTGCACACATCTTCGCCGAACCTGTCAACCTGAGTGAGGCAAGTTCCATCCCCCCCCACCCCACCCCCACTTCGGGAGCAGCGAGCCCCTCATGAACTGAAACAGGGTCTGAGTAAGCCAGGAGGGGGGTTGGGGCCCAGAGTGTACAAAACTTGCAGGTGTCTGGCAAGGCCAGTTGACTTGCCCGTGGTGAGGGGTCAGCAGACCAGGATGGCCAAACCAGAAAATGGGGAGGCAAGAGTGCTGGTGAAGGGTGCGCTTGTTTGGCTAGTAAATGGTTGTTGTAATTGTACAGGTTTTATATGTTTAGGTTCCAGATTACCTGGAATTCATATCCAAGCCAATGGATTTTTCTACTATGAGGCGGAAGCTGGAGTCCCACCTGTACCGCACCTTGGAGGAGTTTGAGGAGGACTTTAACCTTATAGTTACCAACTGCATGAAGTATAATGCTAAAGACACAATTTTCCACCGAGCAGCTGTCCGCCTCCGGGACCTAGGAGGGGCCGTCCTGCGGCATGCCCGGCGGCAGGCAGAGAACATCGGCTATGACCCCGAGAGGGGCACCCACCTGCCCGAGTCACCCAAATTGGAGGACTTTTACCGCTTTTCCTGGGAAGACGGTGAGAAGCCTGAGTGGGTGTGGAGGAGAAGGCACAGGGACAGAGCCCAGAGAGCCAGGGATCAGGGTGGGCCTTGGGGCTACAGGGTAGACTCCAGAAGCAAAGCTAGGGGCAGGCGCAGGCTGGGATGTACCTGCTTGTGGCTGGAATAATTCCAAGGGTTAACTGAGCACTTCTTGAATGATAGGAAAGGGGAATCATGTACTAGCTGTCTGTTAGAAAAGCCAGAGCTTCACCAGAGGTCTTCCTCTCCTGGACCTCCTCTGTGTGGCATCGGAGCATGGGGCAGGGCGAGTGCAATGCTGATGTATTCTGGCTCATTCAGAAGAGTGCAGGTAGAGGACCAGAAAATCGGAATTGCCTCTGAGCCCCGCACTCTGCCTGCCCCTGCTCTCTGCTTCTTGATGGCAGCAACCAAACAGTCACTCAGGCCAGGGATTGCCAGCTGCCTTGTGCCTGCTCCACAGAGCCTGTAATCGTGGCTGTGAACTGCTTCCTGCAGATGTTTCCCGATTCTGACCTTGTCCCTGTGGCTGCCATCTGGGCAGCGGTGTTGCCAGGGCCAAGGTCCCATAGTGACGCTGCTGGACGCCACTGGCCCAGGCATTCCAGAATATTTTGCATCCAAAGGATTTGGCTCCTTCCCCTTGCCCTGGGCTGGGTAGGTCCTTCAGCGCCTTCTGTCCTCCCTTCTCCCTGGCAGTGGACAACATCCTCATCCCAGAGAACCGGGCCCATTTGTCCCCGGAGGTGCAGCTGAAGGAGCTGCTGGAAAAACTGGACCTGGTGAGTGCCATGCGGTCCAGCGGGGCCCGGACCCGCCGCGTCCGCCTGCTGCGCAGGGAGATCAATGCCCTTCGGCAGAAGCTGGCGCAGCCGCCGCCATCACAGCCACCATCACTGAACAAGACTGTGTCCAATGGGGAGCTGCCAGCAGGGCCCCGGGGGGACTCGGCTGTGCCGGAGCCAGCCCCCCAGGAGGAGCCAGAAGACGATGGGGACAGAGGTGAGAGGCAGTTAAGGGCAGGCAGGGGCTGGGGGCCAGGGTGAGAGAGTAAGGGTTAAGCTGAAAGCCTGTAGTGGAAGCATCCTTCCTCAAGTTTAGGCCTGAGCATTGTAGGCAAACAAAAGCCCTAGAGGGGGGTCACGCTTCCATGTGTACCCAAGGATGATACTAAAAATATTTAATAGTCAGTAGAGACCAGAATTCATCAGTCAGAGTACATGTTGGCTGTTGTTTTGGAGTGGGCTCCTGGGGGCCACTGATGTGGATATTTAGCTGCTGGATTGTGGGGAGGTTCAGGGAGTTTCAGATGCTGGGGCCCAGCGGCTATTTACTAACCAGTAAAGTATTTCAATATTTTGCGCATAATATGGCCATATTGCACATACCAGTTAAATGTTAGCCTATTTTATACCATCATGTAGAGAGGCTCTTAGAGCAGGCTAGGTTGTGGTATGGGGGGATAGAAAAGAAAGAAGGACCCTAAAGATAGTCGGCTCTTGAACTACCTCATGGCTTTGACCCCAGCTTGCCAAGTCTACGGGCCCATCCTAAGCAGAAAGGCCAGACTGCAAAAGACAGCTGGGGAATTGATTCTCAGAGACACAGGGGCCTTAAAGCTGAGCTGCTTTCCATCCTTCCCCTTCACTGGGGACAGAATTGTCTTCCTCATACCAGCCCTTGCATCTGAGCCTACAGCTTGGGCGGACCTCTCATCCACACAGTCCAGGAGATTGAAAGTTATCTCCAGAGCGTAAGGGGCCAAATTGCAGGGAATGGCCCATTTTATTTTAGATTGACAGAGAATGGGGACATAGCTGAGAGGTCACATTTGGCGTTAGAGGGCCTCGTGTTCATGGTGACTCTTCCCTAATCCCCATGCAGCAGTCAGCATGCCACTGTATCCCCACTCCTGGGCTGTGGCTGTGCAGAGTCATGCCCAGCGGACCCGCTGTAACACTTCTCCTGGAGGGTTTCAAAGCAAAATTCCCAGGCCTCACCTCACAGAGATTCCCTGACTAGGAAAGACGGCTGTGGCTTGAAAGTCTCAATTTTTAAAAGTTTCAAGGCGGTAGTGAACAGACATGTTTGGGAACCACTGGTTTTACTTACTTGCTCTCATTTTTCCACATCTTTAAACCTGTTTTTTCTGCTTGTCCTACTTGCTTCACTTGGGTGATATGAAACAAAATACGTTGACAGAGGGAAAACAATTGAGTCTAATGAGAGTTGTAGACCCCTAACCTGTGAAGCTGAGACTTACCTAATTATTGATGAAGCAGGAGGCTTTCGGCTTTCTCGGCTGTAGAGCAATGGTTTGTCACCCTTACTTCATCAGACTCACCTGGTAAGCTTTAAAAAGAAATACCCCATCTTTAGAGATTTGGTTTTAATTGATCTGGGATTGGACCTTGGCATTGGAATTTTTAAGAAACATCTTAGGTGATTCTAGCATATAGCCAGGGTTTAGAACTACTAGTATAGATAAAACTTAATCCTACGTTCTCTTCACCTCAAACGTGAGACCTGGGATGTGTCTCAAGTCTTATAATAGCCATGCTTTGGGGTCTTGGTTATCAGTGTCATTATCTGGCTTGTAGGGGCAGACTTTTTCTAAAATGTTCAAGCAGGTTCTTTTTTTATCTAACAGATGACTCCAAACTGCCTCCCCCACCAACCCTGGAGCCCACTGGGCCTGCACCTTCCTTGTCTGAGCAAGAATTCCCCCCGGATCCCCCCACTCTGAAACCCATCAATGAGAGCAAACCTCTGAGCCGGTACTTAAAGCCCAGAAAGGTGGAGGAAGATGAGCTCTTGGAAAAATCACCTCTGCAGCTAGGGAGCGAGCCCTTGCAACGCCTACTCAGTGACAATGGTATCAACAGGGTGTCCCTCATGGCCCCTGACACCCCCACCAGTGCCCCACTCAGTGGTGTGGGCCGCCGCACCTCAGTCCTCTTCAAGAAGGCCAAGAATGGGGTTAAACTACAGAGGAGCCCAGATGGGGCCCTGGAGAATGGTGAGGACCATGGAGCAGTGGGCTCTCCCGCCTCTCCCGCCAGCATCGAGGATGAGCGGCACTCCCGGAAGCGGCCAAGGAGCAGGAGCGGTAGTGAGAGCGAAGGGGAAAAGTCCCCCCAGCAGGAGGAGGAGACAGGTGACCCTGCCTGTGACTTCTCTCGCTACTTGTCATCTGCTTTCCTGCTTTGCCTTGCCAACCAGCACTTCCCCTAGTCAGCTACCTCCCTAATGGTACCTGTGGATGCTAGTAGTAGCATTGAGGCCTCCAGAGCTCACAGTGGTCTGGAGAAATAGGCTTTGAGCAAGTATTTTGAGAGGGACTGTCTCTGGCCCTGGGAGGGGTACAAAGCTATGTATGATAAAATGATTCCTGCCTTCACTGTAGTTCATTCATTCATCAGATATTTATGTCAGGTGTTATTATAGGTACTGGGCAAAAAAATCAATGAAGAAAACTGACAAATCTCCTTTGAAGGGGAGATAGACTAAAAGTAAGTGAGTAAACTATATCTTAGAAGCTATGGAGAAAAATTAAGCAGGAAAGGGGGATAGCAGATGTTGGGGTGCTGTTTAGAGAGAGTGGCCAGGGAAGGCCTTCTGAGGAGATGACATTTGAGTAAAGACCTGAAGGAGTTGAAGGCGTGAGCTATTGGGATATACAGGGGAAGAAGGTTCCAAAAGGATAGATCAGCAAGTAGACGGGCCCTGGAGGTGGAAACTGCATGTTTGAGGAACAGCGAGGGAACCACTGTGGCTGTAGCAGAGTGAGCCAGGGGATTGTAGGAGGTGGGGTCCTAGAGGTAGGGAAGAGGGGCTTGATCACTAGAGTTCCTACCACATGTCGAGCACAAGCTGGTCACTGGGGGGATAATAAAATAAGTCAGACTCAGTTCCAGCTCCAGAAACGTTCACAGTCCACTTGGGAGACCAGATGGTCTCCCGAGGTACAAAGATGTCACAGTGCTGGATGGTATGTGGTTATGTGTCAGGTGACAGAACTGCTAGAGGTGTTCAGGGAATAAGAGCTGGAGAAGGTGGGAAGGCTTCATGAGGAGACGGTGCCTAAGCCTGCCCTGGGGGATGAGGGCAGAACAGAAAGGAGTAGAGGGAGCAAAGGGCTCAGGCCCAGGTGTGAAAACAAGGACAGGGTCCCTGTGAGGGAGAGTTTGGAGAGGAGCTTCCCCAAGCATCAGGAGCCAAGGCTGGATGGGTGAGGTGGGCCTGGATGTGCAGGGCCTCCATTGCCAGAGTAGTTTAGTGTTGGTGGGATATGGAAGGCCAGCTTGCTTGGTGGCGAGGGGCCTGCTTTTGGCTTTGCTCCTCATGTCCTGCTCCTCATGTCCCTCTCGTGTCCTTTTCTGTGATGGCTTTGGGCTGTATGGCCGGCACATGCTTTTCTGTCTTCCTCCCTAACACTTTGTTTCCAGCAATAGCTTCCTCTCCTGTCTGGCCCAAGCTTCCCTGTATTCAGACAGGAGATTGGTATGTAGAGTCAAGAGCTTCAGGCCTGGAATTAGGCCGACCTGAGTTCAAGTCTCATCTTTGTACCAGCCCTGTATCCTGGGGCAAATTAATTAACCTCTCTGAGCCTGTTCCATATTTCTAATAAGGGGCTAGTGATGCCTACCTCGTGGGGCTCTAAGGATTGGAAATAGCCTGTATAAAGCACTTGGCACATAGCTGTAGTTGGTAGCAGTTATTGTGGTCAGACTCTCAACTATATTAGACGCAGCCAAACAGCACTGAGAACACTGTGCATTACAAATGAAAAATCCTGCTATTGGGAAATAGGGCTGGACATCAGGGTCTTCCAACCTGAGAGGGCCCACTGCTTGGGGATACTGCTAGAATCTGTTCCTCCTCCACCGTCCCGCTGCCTGGTGCCCAGGGATATTTCTGCACAACCTTAGTGGAGACTCACAAGAACAGGTGTCGGTCCATTACAGATGAAGCACCTGAGGCACAGCTGGCTTCGGTAATTTAAATTGACATGCAGAGCCAGGTTAGAGTCCAGATACCACAGCTCAGACACCTAGTGTTACAGGTGTGACTTGCCTCACAGTTTTCTGGTCAAGATATCTGTGACTTAGAGCTCCTGGCTCCACTGTCAGACTTGTAGGACTCTGGATTGTGGTTAGGAATTGGATAGATAGAGAGGAGAGTTGAAGCCTTCACAGCAGATGAGAGTCATGTCCCTCGGATGACCAGACAGCCTTCACTGGCTTCCAAAAGGCTCCCTTCTGTAAATAGATCTTCTCTCCATCATATTTAATAGCATCTTCCATAAGTAAGAAGGTATTCTCTTCACTTCACAAAAGGAGAGGCCAAGGCTTAAAGAGGAAAAAGGACCTGTATTTCAGAGCCCAATCTAGAATCCAAGGAATTCTGATTCCCCATCCCAGGAAGGTCTGGTCTGCTTTAGTTCTGCTGAAAAGTTCCCCCATCCTCAACTCTGAGGAGCCCTGCTGGATATCTCAGGGTGTGGTTGACAACAACCCTTATCCTGCCCAACCTCCCCGACACCATCCCTAAAGAATGAAGCTAGCTGTTGCCAGCTGTGTGACAGATAGGGTTTGTGAGTGTTTATCTGAAGAGGCAAGGTGGGTGGGCTCCCCAAGAGACAGAGGAGACTCCCTGATAATCGAGGCTTGAAATTAGAAGCAGATCCAGGGACTTGCGGGCCAGCTGGAGTGGAGAAATCTTGGTATTTCCCTTTGTAGCCAAATGACAGTAAGTGGAATGAGCTGTGTGCTATGTTTTCCTTACAGTAAAACCAGAAGGATGGGAAGGAAAATGCAGTGTCTGGTCATTGCTCCAGCAAACATTTCCCCCAAACCTTTATCAGATTCTACCACCCAGACCCATTTCCCACGGGGAAGGAACAGCCATCCTTTCCACCCCTCTTCATCGAGCCCTTCCGAGGTGGCTGCCTCACACTGCAGCATGTGTCCCAAGAAGGGGGGTTTCTGCACCCAGGCTCACTCTGTGTGTTTTTGGCAGGCGTGACCAACGGCTTTGGAAAACACCCCGAAAGCGGGTCCGACTCAGAATGTAGTTTGGGTCTCAGTGGTGGACTGGCATTTGAAGCTTGCAGGTAAGAACACTTGTCCCGCAGTCATGTTGGCAGCTCCACCACCCCTCCCTCTATTCTCCATTCAGCTATAGATCGAAACTGCTCCTGCTTATCTCAGTTTTTTCTGCACCCCCCACCCCCAACCCCTGCCATTTCCTGAGGCCTCTGGTCTGTAACTCCAGTAGCTCCTAGGAAACAGCATGACCCTTGACCCTCAGGCCTGATCCTCCTGGTGGGGGAGGAGTGGCGCTGATGCTTTACAGGGTTTGTGGAGTGAATTTGGCTCTGAGGGTGGGGACAGCTGAATCCCTATTGCTTAGCGAAGTTAATATTTGAGCCAGTCCCCCACCCATTCACTGGCCCACTTAGATAACCCAGCTCCTTACAGACATACTTCTGCCCTTTGTCTTTTGTGGCATCATAGCAGTGGCCCCTTTAGAGGTGTGGTCTGGGAATAAGAAATGAGCAGATAGGAAATTTGGAGTTGTGTTTTATTAGACAAAGGCCCAGCTCTTCTCCTGTCTGGAGCTGGGAAGAGATGGGTTTCTTTTCCCATTCTTTTATCTGAAGGGAGGATTTCTAAGACCAGAACCTTAAAATTTCTTCCAAGTCCAAGAGTTTATTGAATCCCTGCTCTCTGTGCTGTGCTCTGCAAGACACAAGGAAGTGTGAGACTCTTGGAAATGGGAGACTCTTAGTGTCACAAAGGAAAAATGACCTGTCCTGAAGGCTGACCTCTTGGTCCCTCCACATGGCTGCTGAGTGGATCCTGGGTTTGTTACCAATTTCACCTGACTCCGCTGGGACTCCCACCCACACTCGGAGGAGCTCCAAGCGGGGGCTCATGCGTGGGCCTTGTACCCACAATCCATCCCTTTCTTGGGGGGTTCTTTCCTGTTTGGTGTTGCGGATTTGAAACGAAACCGAAGCTGAGCCATCCAGGGTAGGGGAGGAAAGGTCCCAGGGCACCACCAAAAAACTACGTGTCTGTGTTTCAAGTGCCTCCAAGACAGGATGGGTGTGTGTTCTGTTAGGTACTCACTCTACCCTGGCTGCTGGGCTCCTGGCTGGGCTACAGAAGGCCCCCAGCTATCCCTTGGGCCAAGCTTTCAGTGGTTCTTTTGAGATTTCCTTCCCTACTAAGCCTCAAAATTGCCCTAGCTTTCTCTCTCCATGTTGCAGCCTCCCAAGATACAGGGGGAGTAGATGGGAAAAAACACAGTTACCAGGCATAGAGAAGAGGCAGGGATTTCCGAATCGTATAAGATGCTTCTAGCCTGGTCCCAGCTTGGAGTTCCTGACTCCCTTCAAAGATATGGTCCCTGGAAACCCAGTTCAGTGGGGGTGGGTAGGAGTAGGGTTTTCAAACTGTCCCCTCCTAGCCCATGACTAAAGGTGGAAGGTGTGTTGGGCTTTTCCCTCCGTGAAGGGCGCTCTTCCCAGCTATGAGCCACAAGAAGCAGGCCGGGCCAGGCTCTGGTTAGCCTGCTGATTCAGGCTGTGAGTTTACCTTTCTGCACAGTTCCAGTCCACTGCCACTGATTTCTCTGGGATCCTGCTCAGAGTAGAAACAGTGCCCTTGGGAGGCATTTTCTCTTTAACTCAGTGGAATTTCAGAGTTTAAAACAGGAGATTCAGGGGCTCCAACTGCAGGGGGTTTTTTCTCTTTCTTTTTTCCCACACTGTGGTGATAAGTATGTAAAAGAGGATCTTACTTATTAATTAGACTGGAATCATATAATCCCAGAATTAGAAAGAACCTTGAAAGAACTTCTGGTCACTAATTCCCCCACTTGCCCCTTGGTCTGTCTGTTCTGATCATTTTCTGAGTAGGCTGGGGCTGCACCCTCTTTCTGCGGGTCACTCATTCAGTTACTAGAATTGAGCACCTACTGTGAGCCAGGCGCTGTTCTAAGCACTGATGGGGTATCTGTTTTCATGGAGCTTATCTTCCAGAGGAGAGAGACGAATGGTAAACCAGTAGACAAAATAATTATAGACTGAGTTGTCTGCTAAGGTCTAGGTAAATTGGAGAGAGTCTGAAGTGGAGGCCATGATTGAGTCACTTGTGCTTTTTTTCTCTGAAACAGGCACACACAGACCTAGTTCTCGTGTTGCATCCTATTTTATTGAGCTCATCCTTCTTAGAGCTCGTCAGTTGATGGTACAACATTAGTAGTTTGTAATATTTAAAGTGAGACATTAAAATTTGCTGCCCTTCATATAATAATATTTATTATATAACTGCCATTTATTGAGTCCTTGGTGTGTGCTGTACTGAGTACTTTCTGTGTATTAATCCACTGAATCCTCACAGCAGCACATGAGGGCACAAGCCTCAGAGAGGTTAAGTAACTTGCTCAAGGTCCCAGAGCCGGTAAGGAGAAGAGCCACGTACTGAACCCAGATAGTCTGGCTCCAGAGTTTATCTTTTCACCACTTTGCTATGCCCTCTTCTGTTTATTTGAAAATGTCTCCCCAGATCCATGATGTGAACTTTAAGAGGTTTCCTAATAAAACTATTAGTCCCTTACATTTTTATAAGGCCTCAGAGCCTCTAAGCCCAGGGACAGATTTCTGTAGGGTGAGTGGGAACCAAATCCTAAAGGTGAACTTGTTGTTATTTGTTTTTTCCCAAACAGGTCCTAATTTTGAGTAGCAGGACAAAAGCTCCCGGCCTACTGGTTATGGAAGGATTCTGATTCATTGGGTTCTGGTTGTGCAAGCTTTTCTGTATAAGACTGTGATAAAGTCAGTTATGATTCAGTCAAACAGGAATACCCTGCTCTCCAACCAGTCCTTATCCCACCAGGGGTTTCTTAAGCATTTCTGCTGTCTGCAGATTGTTGACCTGTCTTTCACGCATTTTTTTTAGTTGAAAAAATTATATAGCAGTAATAGTTTTGAAAGCTTGAGTGAGAAAAAGCCCTAGCCACATCATGCCTACCCGGGGCCTCCCAACTGTAGTTGTACATTAGAATTGCACTGGGAGCTCTTGAAAAGTACTGATGCCTAGGTGGGTTCCAGTCATTCTATTACTGTGGTATTACGATTCTCATATTTTTTATTAGCTTCAAGTCTTTGTCTAATATATGTTTTTACCTCCTTGCAGTAGCATATAAAAAAAAATCGGTCTGCTTGTTAGTTAAAAATAAATCTATCTCTGTCTAAGAAAAACTTCACACACAGAAAGTGGAAGTGAGAAGTGGATTTTTTTCCAATTTAAAAATGTCTTTTCTAATTAAAGAAGTAAGACATGTTCTTTATAGAAAATTTGGGAAAGAGGCACATTTTTGTACCTCAAAAAGAAATTGGTTTCTAAAGAAGAAGCAGTGTGAACCACAGAGTAAAGAATTAGGGCAGATGTGAGGCGGGCCCTCCTCACAGCCGGGCTGCTCAGACTCTGGAAGGATTGACAGCTGCCTGGGGTGACCTTTCCTCTGGATGAAGTCCAGGGTCCCTGAGCAGAGAAGTGGGCATCTTTCCAGGTTGAGTCCTTCCATGTGGATGAAATGGTTCTTGAAGCTTTGGGGGAACTTTTTGGTCAGAAATGTATCATGGGTTCTTGTGAGTTTTTAGGCGAGATGAGAAACCATTGTTGAAGAGTTTTCGCAGCTCCAGTCCTATCAGAGATGAGAGAGCAGGAGTGGGTGTGTGAGTCATTGAAATTGCTCATTTCACCCCCTCTCCCTCCCTGCTCTGTGTGCAGTGGTCTGACGCCCCCCAAACGTAGCCGTGGGAAGCCAGCCCTGTCCCGAGTGCCCTTCTTGGAAGGTGTGAACGGAGACTCCGACTACAGTGGCTCAGGTGAGGAGCAGTATACAGGTGGATCCGGGGGGCCAGGCCTTCCAAAGAACCAGCTCTGTGGGCTGCAGCCAGACCCTGAGCTCCTCCAAATCCTCAGGCTCTGTGCAGGAAGATGGCCCTCCCTCCCAGGTCTTTCCTATTCTTTTTTTTTTTTTAATTTCTCTTAAATTTGAATAGGTAATATATGCCCATAGTAATAAAAATCAAAAAGGTACAAAAGGGCTCATAATGAAAAGCCAGCATTCTCCTCCCTCGAACATCCACTGTTTGCAGTTTCTTTTGTGTCTTTTCAGATATAGTCCATACATATACAAGCCAGAACTCATGTGTGTATTTAAGAGAGTGAGTAGAGAAGCCTAATGTACACCTGTTCGTCTAAACCATGCCTTTTTTCAGTTAGTAATATATCTTGAAGATTCTATTGTTCTTTTTACTGGCTGCCTGATGCCCCATTATATAAGAGTGCCATCATTTATTTAGCCCTCTGCAGGTGGATGTTTAGATTATTTTCACTTGTTTGTTATAATCGGTGTTGCAGTGAGTAACCCTGTACGTAGATCGTTTTGTATCCCTGGGGAGTACATCTGTAGAAGTGGAGTTGCTGTATTGAAGGAAGTGTGCATTTGTGGTTTCGATAGATATTGCCAGTCTGCCCTCACTGGAGTAGGCAGTGACAGCCTGGATCACTGAGTCTCACACGTAACCCTGTAATTGCATGTGATCCAACACTTCCAGCCCTCTCCTTGTGAGGCATTCTACTCCAGCTGGTCTACACAGTAAGATACATGGGTCTTGTCTCCTTGGACCAAGGGAATAAAGGACAGGCCAGCGCCAAACGAGAGGGCTGGGTGGCACTCACGTGGAGCGGGTGCCAGGCGGGCTGTTCTCTGAGCGCCCCTCACCCAGCTCTCCCGTGGGAGTGTGCACTCTGGATGCCCTCACCTTGAAGCTTCCATCCAACACCCAGGCTTCGGGGCTTCTCTCCTCCTTTCCTTTTCCCAACTGCTTTATTTTCCCTTAGCATCCATTTCTTTCTCACACGTGTGTTGATGAATGCATGCCTGCGTGTATCATTACTGTCTGACTGTCAGTGCCCAGAAGGCAGGGCTCCTGTCTAGATGAATTTGTACAGTATCTAGTGCAAAACTGGGAGCAGATTGGCACATACTTTGTGCTTCTGGTAGTGACATTTTATTCTTATTTTAAAAACTACATACTTATTAAACTGATGCCAAAGGAAATTGACCTCCCACCGTTCCATCACCTTAACACTGTTGTCTTCATTTCTCTGTGTTGCCTTCTGTTTATTTCAGGCTCATTTTTAACAAAATGCTAACCCAAAATACATACTCTTTTATATTCTGCTTTTTTCAATATTATCTCATACTTTTTTCATCTTAACATAATCTTTATATATCTCATATTATGGGAACAATGTATCTTCCAGTCAATGCATTATAATCTACTTAACACTGCTACTGTTAGACATTTGGTTATTTCCAGCTCCTTACATTATATGTAATATAGTGAATGTTTTTGTTCAAAATCCTCGTATTTGTTTTAAAAGTTATTTTTCTTAGAATAAATTCCCAGGGAAGGAATTTACTGGAGCAGATGGTTCATACATTTTTTTTATGGCTCTTGAGACATACCACCAAATTACATTCCAAAAGGATTGGACTGGTCTGCGATTGCCTCAGCAGCATACGATTGCACCAGTTTCCTCGCAGCTTGCCTCTCCAGTATTGGATTTTATCTTTTTGTTGTTACTGCTCTTGACTCAATAGGTAGAAAACAGTACGTCATTATTAGTGGAATATTTTTAAAAATTATAAATGTTCCTTAGAAACATAATTTCTACTCTGTGGGATTTGGGCCTTTTTGTTTGGTCGAATGTGGTCACCTCCCTCTTCCCAGTTTATAGAGGTGGGGAGGGGAAGGGAGATTCTTCTGTGTGTTCAGAAGCATTCTGAAGTCCCCGTTCATGTGTGCTAGTGCACTGGGTACAGAACAAAGTAAGCTGAAGAGATGCGGTACCTGCCGCAGGCGGGACACCCAGTGTAAGGTTCTGACAAAAGCAGGCATGTGAGGGACCTGCAGACCTGCTTGGCTCTGCTGAGGGCTGTGCGTCCGGGTGATCTGTCAGAAAAGAACCCATGTAGCAAGTGGTTTTACTGGGATGTTCATCCCAGGCATCTTTTTCCATGAAGCCTCCATCGTGAGGACTCTTCACTCAGGGAGGCCCAGAGAGCAGTCTGTGGCTTTGCCCAAGCCAGGTTATGGTCCTTCCCCTGGGGCCCTGTGATGAAGCAGTCATATTTTCCTAAGGAACACCGTCCCAGGGTTCTAGTCCAGAGGTCGGCAAACTCTAGCCTATTGTCTGTTTTGAGGACCCATGAGCTAAGAATGGTTTTTACATTTTCAAATCATTGAAAAGAAAATCAAAAGAAGAATGATATTTTGTAACACATGAAAATTACATGAAATTCAGATGTTAGCGTCCAAAAATAAAATTTTGTGGGGACACAGCCATGCTCATTCATTTACAGATTATCTCTGGCTGCTTTATGCTGCGATAGCAAAGTTGAATAATTGCAACAAAGACCGTGTGACCCAGAAAACCTAAAATATTTACTATTTGGCCCTTTATGGAACAAGTTTGCCAACCCCTGATCTAGTCTAAGAACTTTTAAGGAAAGGGCAGGGAAAAGGAAGGGTGGAGGGGATGTTGGACTTATTCCTGGGCTGCCCCAGTCAACTGGAGGCCACAGGCAGGCCTCCTGGGCACCATTCCAAGTCCCCTTTGGGCACTGTCTCCTCCCCTCCCGCACCCCCAGGCAGAAGCCTCCTGATGCCCTTTGAAGACCGTGGAGACCTGGAGCCCCTGGAGCTGGTGTGGGCCAAGTGCCGAGGCTATCCCTCCTACCCCGCCTTGGTGAGTCTGCCCCAGAGGCCACCCTCCTCCCTCCCCTGGGCGGTTCTGGCCCCTGCCTTGCCTTGGGGGCTTATCTGATTGGATCAAGCCAGCAGAGTGTGGAGTATGGTGGGAGTCAGGGTGCCTTTAGCTGCAGAAGGGAGGGAGGTGTTACCCCGGCCTGGGTGGGTCAGACCAGCAAGGCTCCCAGCTTGGGCACTCACAGTAGGCTGCAAGTGTGCAGACAGAGACCAGGGATCTCAGGGATCTAATAGCATTTGTTTGTTTGCTTCTGCATAAAGGTAACGTGTGCTCATTGCAGAGAATTTTAAAAGTTGCTAATAATGCTTAGATGTTTTATTAAACATCTGTGATGCTAAGTTCTTGAAATACTGAGGAAGGTATGGTTATTCTCATTTTGTAGGGAAAAAACTGAGGATCTATTCGTTACCCATGGTTGCCTAACTGTTAAGTGGCAGAGTTGCAGTTTGAGCCCAGGGCTCAAAACGTATGATGTCAAAGCCTGGGTTATGAGCCACCAAGTTCTAGATCACCCACAGTCTCGTCTATTCAGATGTTACCTCTTGGTGTATATCTACTCAGCCCCTTTTTGTTTAATGCATCAATATTCATATATATGAGACCATACTCTGTTTAACCTTCCTTTTACTTAGCAGCAGACCATGAACATGTGTGTCTTAAGCCATTAAACATTCTCCATCAACATCACTTTAATGATTGTCTTCAGTTGTATGCATGTTCCTTATTTTAATCATTCCTTAGTTGGTCATTTAAATTGTTTTGAATTTTTCACTATGATAAATAGCCATCAGTAAACATCATTGTAGCTTTACCTTTGTGCACATCCATGATTATTTCTTTACAGTGAGTTCTTAGGGGTGCTTTCTTGGGGCAGTCTGTGCAGAGTTCTGATACAAATTGCTAAGTTGCCCTTTAGAAAGTTAGTTCTGGTTTATACTCCAACAGCAGTAGCTAAAATTTCCATTTTTTCCATAGTAGCAGAGCTAAAAATTCCCTTTTACCACTTTGATTGTTATTTCTTAGAGCTCTTTCTCTTTTGGGGAGGTAACATCCACCTGGCCCTGGAAGATACTGATTCTAACCTTGAGGCATGTCAGAATCATCCGGGGGAATTCTTTAAACAATGTGGATACTGAGGCCCCATCTCAGAACTACCAAATTAGACTCTCTGAGACCAGACACAGGCATTAATATTTTTCAGAAAGCTTCTCAGATGATCTGTAGTGGGGTTGAGAACCACCGCACCAACCTCGTGCATGGGCACAGAGCTCTGGGCTTCTCCCAGCTCTTTCATGTCTGTGACTCTTTCAAATCTAACAGCAGTCTCTTAAGGTAAAGAGGGCAGGAGCTCTGATCCTTTTGGGACAAAAGGTGACTCCAAGAGGTGATACAGCTTGCTAGAGCCATGTTGGAACTCGTGTTACCTGCCTCACCCCGTCCTTAGTAGTGGCAGGTGGGGGGATCCACGCTGTGATCCAGCCACTGAGGAGCTTGGGCCTGGGGCTGCCTTCACAGGGCTCTGTGCCCTGTGTCAGTGAGACCTCAGCTTCGTCCTTGAAGAAGTGACTAAGGCTGTGCGGGTTTTGGTTTTGGTTTTTTAAAATCTCACAATGCAAAAAAGCCAGTCTAAAACTTGTCTTTTTCCCCTTTTTAATTATCTTCTTAATAATACATTTTCTTTCTTGATTAAAGAATTCAACCACCACCTGAAAACCCAACCACCTGAACAGACCTGTGTTTTTATTTTGGTTTGTGCTCTCCCAGTCGTTTTCCTGTGCATACTTAAATATGTACTTGCGTCCAGAGTGAATATAGTTTTTAATCTTTTTGGGGGCTCTTGTTTTTTAAAAAAAAATTTTTTGTTTTTCTGTAAAATTGATCAAACTGCATTATAGAAGTTTTGGAAAAATAGAGAAAAGCAACACAAAGCCTTCTAATATGTCAACTATAAGCATTTTGTATTGTTCCTTCTATTTATTGTTTGTGTATTATAGCTGTAATAATAGTGTATGTATACATTTATTGTATATGTTAAAGTTTATCGCAAGCTTTATTTTCATGTTGTTTTTCATCTGCATAACATTTGAGTGAATGGACCGTTATTTATTATTTTGGGACACGTTTGCCTCTGTCTTCTTTAAAAAGAGAGCATAGCTCTCCTTGAGTGGCAGACTTACCCACCTTGCTTCTGTCCTTGGGGGGGTGCGACATTTTTCACAGTCCGACCTACGTTCCAAGGCAGGAACCAGCAAGGCTTAGTCAAGAGGAAACATATCAGAGCAGCCCTACTGTCTTGTCCGATAATTGAGGGAGCTCAGGAGGGCTCGTATGGTGGTTCTCATTGGGATCCTTAGCTGCAGTCCCAGGAGCGACAGACAAGCTGGGAGATAGAGTTTTGACCAAATCACACAGCTGGGGGCAGGAGTGGTTCTTCCTTAGAGTAAAACTCTTAACCAGCACACCTGCTTTCAGCTGCTTATCTTGAGAAGGATGTAGGGAATTTGGCAGACACCCAAAGGTAAATAGTGAGAGCAGTTTATTATGAGAAGAGGCCCCCTAGGACAGGATATAGGAATTAAGATTGTTCCATCTCTGGAGAAAGCTGTTGCCTCAGTAAGTTTCCAAGTCTCTCTGGCTTTAGCACACAGAGATTATCAGCCAGCTGCTCTGGAAGCAGGGGTGTGTATGAGGTAGCGAGCCGCAGAGGCCCAAGCCTTGTCCAGGTGTCTGGTTTTAGTCCCAGCCGTGGCCTCAACAAGCAACATCCTCCTTCTGTGCTTGACGTTTTCCTAGTCAGCTAATACCTGTCAGCAGACTTCTCAGGATCAGCCAGAGGGTGAAATAAGATGGTGGTGTGTGAATCATTAGGAGCTTTGGTAACTTAGTGCTCCATAAAGCACTAAAGAATTATTGTGTTGATGCCACCAGGCATTTTGCTAAGCAGCTGCCCATGTGGAGCATGCAGCCCCAAAGATTAATTCCTCCAGTGGCCCCTGTTGCCAGCCACATCATTTTCCCCTCTCCAGTGACCCTCCAAGCTTAGTCTTCTAGCTTCTCTCTGATCTTAGCATGGCGTTGCCGCATATGTGTCTGGTGCATGGACCAGGGAGGATTATAGGCAGACAGGAGAGTGGTAGGTAACCAGGGGCTCTGTTAGGTAGAACTGAAGGGATGGACCTTCCTGCTGATGCAGAACCTTCTTCATAGCCATGGTGTCTGGAAAGGCCCCTGAGCGTTTGAATTGAATTGCAAAGGTTCCAAAGGGAAATTGACAGGGAAAAAAATGGCCTCCACTCCCCTTCCCCAAGGGACATTCGGAGGAAAGAGTTTGCCTGTCTGGCCTGACTTCAGAGAGACTCACTCAGTCCTGACACCCTCCGTGCTGGCTTCCTATTAATTCTGTTTCACTTCTGAGGCTTCACTGTTCATGGAGCAAGCTCCCTCATTGGAAGGACTGGTTGAGCAGGGCTGGAGGATTGGGACGATGAACTGGGGAAACAAGAGTTAAGATTTCCATTTTGGGGTACTGAGGGTCATGGAAGAGGTCAGCCCCTCCAGCACTAGGTTGTGGGCAGGGCCAGGTGCCTGCATAGCTTTGGTGTGGGGTGGTTCAGCAATTAGTCCTGGGCAGGACACCCTGCTCACCCTGTTCACCCCCAGCTGAGTGCAATCTCCTTTCCTGCCTCCAGATCATCGATCCCAAGATGCCCCGGGAGGGCCTCCTGCACAATGGCGTCCCCATCCCTGTCCCCCCACTGGATGTGCTGAAGCTAGGAGAGCAGAGACAGGCCGAGGCTGGAGAGAAGCTCTTTCTTGTCCTCTTCTTTGACAATAAGCGCACATGGTGAGTGGGCGCTGCTGCCGGGGAGGGCCCATGCCAGGGTGCAGGCTGAGGGGCCCAACCAGGAGGCTGTGCACATGCTGATGTGCTAAAGAGGCACACAGCGGGGCTGTGGGCTCAGTCACCCTGCCTCCACCCAGGTGAGGGTGAGGCATTACCTGCCCGCAGCTGGCCTGTACGTGGCATGTTAATAGTAACTTAGTGTTACTACTAACACTGATGAGTAGTGTTCATCGTTAACTGAGAGGTGTTGCAGGTCAGATTCCCTGGGAAACACGCTGAGAGGGAGATTTGTATCAGGAGGCTTCTTGGGGAGAGCAGTGGGGGTGAGGGACGCAGCACTGGGCAGAGGAGGAAGTTGAACGGTAGCGCTTGCTACCGAGGCCTCAGTTGATCCACCTCATTAGAAATGTTAGGAATCGGGGCCTTGCCTTTGCACCCCCACGTCAACTAGTCCTTTAATGCCATCTGCCCCTGGAAGGAGGCGGCCTTGGGCCAGGCAGCCCCCATAGTGGAGAGTGAGTCCTGAAGAGGGACTCAGGTGAGAGCTGTAAGCTGCCAGCACTCCTCGTGGCTGCAGGAATGCGCATCTCAGTCCAGGGCAGGTGGTCTGGGCAGGGCAGGGTGCACTACGAGGGGCCTGCTGCTCCCTGTGTATGAACACCTTCATACGGGTTTCTCTTCACACCAGCAGGAGAGTTCTTTCTCCTCTGCTTCTGCAGAGTGAGGAGGAAGGACTAGCTCGTAAAAATAATGATGATAATAGCTGCAATTTATTGAGTGTTGACTCCATGTCCTTATGCAAATTGCTTTACATACATGATCTCATTTAATCCTCATTGAAATCTTCACTAATCCCCTCCCAATCCATTTTGCAGATGAGGAAGCTGAGGCTCAGAAAGCAAGACCCCATAGCCAGAACTGGGATACAAACTAAGATCTGGCTCTAAAGGTTGGGCTCTTAGCCACATGTTAGATCCACCCGGGGATCAGTAAAAAACAAACAAAAACAAAACCCAAAAAACGCCAGGTACAGGCCCCACTAGAGATCAGTTCATGGATTCCTGGCATCAGCCCCCACTTCCTAGCTATAGCTCACTGATTCCTCAAGGCAGGAAAAGGCTCAGCCTTCCGGATGGCTCAGCCAGTGTCAGAGGGCGCCCCATGGGCCTCTCTCTGTTCCTGAGACCTGACAACCCTCTAAGCAGAGTGAGCACCCTGGGGCCCAAGGAAGGGCCTGACTGCAAAACAGGTCTTGCCTGGGGTGTCCCAGTCTACCTCCCTCCACCTTGTCCCCTCCCTGTGGTTTTGCTGGTCCTGAGCAAGTGGGCCCAGAGGAGACCCATTGCAGCCCAGACCTCTTACTGTGCTTGTGTTTTAGGCAGTGGCTTCCGAGGGACAAAGTCCTGCCCCTGGGTGTGGAAGACACCGTGGACAAGCTCAAGATGCTGGAAGGCCGCAAGACCAGCATCCGCAAGTCAGTGCAGGTGGCCTATGACCGCGCAATGATCCACCTGAGCCGAGTCCGGGGACCCCACTCCTTTGTCACCTCCAGCTACCTGTAAGGGTGGGGCCTGGCCTGCTCTGCTTCCGTCCCATGGGGCGCAGAAAAACCTCTTACTGCCCCAGCCAGACGTATGGCCGGCAGCTTCCCCACTTCATGGCAGGCCAGGGACTGGGCTGTGTCCTCCCCAAGGGCAAGGCCCCAGTTTTGACCAACTGCGTGGTTCCCTTGGCAGGCCTGCCGTGTGCCAAAAACTCCCACCTGAGCTCCCTCAGGGGCTGGTCCACTGAAGAACCAATTAGAAGTAGAAACAGCTGTGAGGCTTGGGCCCAGCCAAGGAGGTGGGCCTGGCCCCGGAAGGCAAGAGGTCCCGGGCTCTTTCTCAAGGGTGTGCCTGGCCCCTCCACCCCACTCCCAGCTAACCACACCTCAGGGCGAGCGAGGCTCTGTCGGTGACCCCAGAGGTGCTGTGGCTACACTAGGGTCCCTGGTGGAATCTCACTGAGCTCACCCTCTCTCCTCTCCGTCACCCATTCTTACACCTCTTCCCTGTCCTGTCTTCTGCACCTCTGCCCGGCTCTGTTATTCCCATGTTCCTTTCCCTACTTTCTCTTGTGCCAAACTGACAGAAACCATCACCAAACTGGTTTTTTTTTTTTCTTTTTTATATCTCGTTCCCTTTGAGGTCAGCTGCTATGTTAGGTGGGTATCTCCGCCTGGTCCTCAAGGCCCAGGACAGAGGCCAGCCTACCACTCAGGTGACCCTCCCACCAGCACACATACCACCTATGCCCCCCACCCCCCCGACTCTCACTGCTGCGACACACAGCTGAGGCCAGGCTGTGATAGCTTGCCCACTTGGATTGAGGGGGTGCCCTTCCTGCCCTTTCCTTGTCTTGCCAAGAGGTGGGCTGAGGCTGGGCGGGCTCCTGTCAGCAGACCTGGCTGGTTGTGAGAGAGTCTGTCTGTCCACTGGGGTGTTGAGGGTTGTTGGGGTGGAGCTGTGCCCTTCGGCTAGGTCTGCCCCTCACCCATCCTGCTCCCTCTCTGTGGGCTTTTCCTTCTGTGCCACTGCAGCCTCTAGCCTCACTCTCCATCACCCTAGATGGCGTGGTACCCATAGTCCAGCATCTTCCTGTCCTTTGCTCTGCCCTGTCCAGCCTCTGCTGCTCCCGCTTCCGAACTCCAGGGAACGCAGTGCTTCTATTTCAAACCTTCTGTCCCCTTCCCTCTTTTCCTTCAACCCCCTCCCTCCTTCACCTTCTCAAAAACGGAAGGGAAAAAAAACTGTGAAAAGGGGAATGCTGACTGACAAACCAACACAACTTTCAGAGGCTTCGATGTCTGTTCTCTGGATGTTTCTTTTCACCTCTTAAGCACCAAAGTCGCAGGGCCAGGTTGCAGGCCACTGATCGCCATGTTGATTTTTAACCTGACGTTCTTTTTAATTGTTTTAAATTTTTCATAGGGGAGTTTTGGACAAAACGAAGTCACTGGGGAGATCACTGCCATTTTTACACACTCGACTTTTTAAAAATACAACCAGTCAACCACCACAACTTCTTATACATTTGGGACACGAGCCAGAGTTTAAAAGGGAACCAACAAAACTCTCTATAACATAAAGGATGGGGTTTTGGCTTTTGTACAATAATAAAAATACAATACAGCATATGGCTAGGGAAGGACATGGTGTATATAATTGTAAAATACTGTTCTAAATTATTCAGGCCTATAGTTTCATTACTGGAGTCCTCCATTGTGTGGCTGAGTATTTTAAATGCACACAGTGTGGTTTATTTAAGGAGCCAATGTGTCCCCCTCTCCCCAGGTAGTTGGTCGGCTGTGGACTCTGTGACCTTCGTCTCAACCTGTGTTGTAAGATCTCGGGGCTTTCTCTCTCTCTCTCAATTTCTGTGTCTATCTATTTCTTCCCCCCAAGACATTCTCTTTCTTAGTCTCTTTTTTTCGATCTCTGAACCTTTCAGTCTCTCTCTGAGTCTCATTTTTAAAACTGCTCTTTTAGAACAGGAAACGGCTCAGATCCTGCTGTGGCATGGGGCCTATGTGTCTCAGTCGCGTCTGCTGTGAAGCACACGATGCTCTATTTATTGTAGAAAGTGACTTTATTTGCTTTCTAGAATTGTTTATAACAGATGGTATAAGAGAGGTAATAAACAGAGAAAAATCTATGCTTGTAAAGAATACAAAAGTTAATTTTACCTACTATAATATGACTGTCTGAAACTTATTTTCTCTCTGAGAAATAAATGTTCTAATGGGCAGCAGTTGCTGTGCTGTGTTTGGTGTCATGAGTGGGGGCCTGCCCCTCTCTTTCTAATTTCTCCAGCCCACCCCCTCCTCCAAAGGCCCCGGGCCATTAGGAATGGGGTTGTCTAGCTGCTACAGGCTGCCATTTGGAGAGGGCTCTGTCTCTGCCTGCCTGTCTCTTGGACCCCTGGGAGGGGTGGGAAGATGGATTTGGACATTGTTTCCCTCCCAGACAGCACTGCCTTCTGGGAGCTGTGGGAAGTCCAGCCTACCTCCCATGCCTCTGCTTCCCCGTGGCTCTGTTCCTTTAGGAGCGTCTGCTCCTCCTTTAGTGGGAGGAGTGGCCTTTGGACATCTCCGCCGCCTGTTTACCAAGCTTGCGGAAATCAGAGCTCTGGGATGCTCAGGCCTCCTTTGTCATTGTTGCTGTCCCCATTCTGTAGGTAGGTAGCTGGGACACACCAAAAGGCGTAACATGTGCCTAACCCCTTTGAGAGCTGGAAGGGATCCTTGAGGCTACCTGGTTTCATTTTGCAGACAAGGAAACAGAAGCAGATTAGCAAGATTAAAAGACTTGTCCAAGGTCAGCCAGCCAAGAAGTGGTGGCAGAATCCTGGGACAAGTCTCCGGTCAAGGCTTTCTTGTGGGCTCCACAGCATTTCAAGGCTGTGCTGGCCTGTTCTGTACCTTCCTTCCCTCTCTCAGTGGCTGTGGCTTCAACATTTCTGAAAAGGGATATTGTAAAGAGCAGAGGCAGAGGAAGAGTTCCCAGGGACAAATTGCTTGGTGGTTGGGCCTAGGATAGCTCTTCCCTGTCCCGTTCTTCCTGGTCCTGCCTGGCTCCTGGGCTTGGCTGGGAGTTACGTGTCTCCGCGGTGTGGCTGGAGGACAAGGGACTCTCCTGATCCCCTCCTCCACAGGGCCTTTGAAATTTTTATGGAAGTCACTTAAGTGTAAAAGTTCTCAATTTGGTATAACATGGACGAAGTGCCTCCACGGTGCTGATGCGTGTTGGGGGTGCGAAGCTGCACAGCCCTGGACACTTACAGCCTGATTTATAAGACACGTCGCAGACAACTTTGAAGGAGGCAGGGGTGAGGCTCCAGAGGGGAAGAGATAGAGAGACATCGTGTTTGGGGGAATAACGAAAGCTTTCAGAAAAATGAGGTAACTAATTCAAGCCTTGAAAAATGGGGTTAAAAATCCCTATTAATGAATTTATATTTTGAATTACAAAGGCAATTTAGAGCGAAGTTACAAGCTCACCCTATAAAACATTTTGAAAATGAAGTAAAGGAAAAATGACCAGATGAGTAGGATATTAGCAGGCAAGGATAAGGAGAGAATGCTTCATAAATAGATGAAGCAGCTTAAGCAAAGGCAGGGCTCAGGCGGTGTGGCGTGTATTCCAACTCCTGTGACTAACTGCCACCCCATTTGACTGGAAGCCATTGAGGTGGCAAAGCCGTGCGTCAGGATCAAGAGCCCTACAGCTCGCTCGTGTGACCTCGAGCGTAGTACTGGACCTCTCTGAGCTGCTCTGAGACTGACTTAATAGGGAATCCCAAAGTGGTAGGTGGCACCTATGGTGACAGCATCCATTGAAGGATTTGAATAGGGAAGAGCCTTGTTTGGAACTTGGCAACCAATTAGACATCAGAGTCAAAAAGCAGGGATATCAGTGCAGGGTCGCTGTGTGGCTGGAGGCGTCAGCAGTGGGTTTGAGGGAAAGGAGGAAGAATTTAGTTTGTGATGAGTTTGTGTTGCCTACACGATATCTGAGAAAAACCCTCAGCAAGTAGACGGGGCTGGGCCTGGAGTTCAAGAGGAAGGTAGGAGCAGATGTCAGAAATGGGGCACCGATGCCCACCAGGGCAGTTAGGAGAATAGCCAAGGAGAGTGGGCAGGACAGCCCCTTATATCTAGAGGCTGGGTTGGGAGAGAAATGATGGAGCCAGCGTCTTCAGAGAGGTCTGGTCCCCCGGGAGGGCCTCACACAGAGAGGGTCAAGCCCTAAGGATCGTCTGGGCCCACCAACTCATCTCACCAAGAGGCAGGTCAGATGTGCTCAGCATCACAGAGCGGGAAAAGGCAGTACTGGACCAGAACCCAGAACCTAGCACTTTCGACTCTGCAGGTGCACGTGTTCAGAGCCCTCAAGGTGAGTGGAACTGTCCTTAATGAATTTTATCAATGTTGTGATTAAAATTTATGGACTCAAGTCTAAAATGGTATTACAAAACTGGAGCATGTGAGGGCACTCTGACTAGGAATAGAAAAATCTCATTTTCCTAACAAGTTTAAAAATATCATTAAAAGCATTTGCCAAAGCTCTGGTCGCCTTGGCCACTTCCGTTAATGTGTAAGTCGCTGTGAACACTTGAGTGTGAATTTGCTTTTCAGACGGGCTCTCCAGACCTGGCTCGGCTGTGAGCTTTGACTCTGAGAGAAGAGGGGGTGAGTGGTAATACTGCCAGGCCGGGACGGGTGCTGAAGAGAGATAGAATGTGGGGCCCTGTCCACGCCTGGTCCGCAGGCCCTCCCACAGTCTCTGCAGGGCAACGCGTGTGAACGTCTGGTCCTGCCAGCTGCAGCCAGTCTGGCCTTTCCCGGAGCTGGGGTGTGGGAAGGAAGTCTTCACAGGAGGGAAACCGTTTTTCCGAAAGATGGTGGGGAAGAGGAGCTGGGGAGGTGTGTGTCTGCTGGGCCGGAGTGGAGGAGGGCTCTGCCTGGACCTTGGCACCCTTCTGCTTGCCCTTTCCCTTCCAGGGTGGCAGAGGGCACTAGGGGTGGAAAGAAAGGAAATATATATATATATTTTTTTATATATTGATATATGTATTCTATAGTATATTCTACATATTCTGTAGTATGTTAATATACATATATTAGTATTCTCTACAATTTTAATATTCTTGAGAGCCAGGACTCACAGGTTAAATGGAGTAGAAGAAGCTAATTGTCCCCAAATTTCAGAAGTGTGGTTGTGTTGTATTTCAAAGGACATGTGTGTCCTTTACTTGGCACCTGTAAGACTGGCTGGAAGTGATGGGTTTCAGTCCCCTCACTTCTGAAGTAGTGTCTGAGCGCCTTCCTTTTCCTTTCTGCTCTGTGTTGGCCCCTTTAGGGGGTCATAGAGGCAGTATTGAGGATGCAACGTTGATGGTTCCTGATGGGCAAGGTGCAGGATGCACGGGGGCCCCGGGGAGGGCCTCTTCCACCAGCTTCACAGTCCAGACGGACTCCCAGAGGATTTTATCTGAGCTAGTCATGAAAGATTATAAAATTTTGTCTTTGCTATCTAATTTGAGAATTATTTTTTAAGTGCAAAGGAGAAAGTAAGGCTATTCTAATCACCCAGAAATAACCATTTCCGCCACTTTAATGTAATTTCCATAACCTCTTGTTTTTTCTAGGTAGAGCATGTATCTTAGTTTCTTGTACTGGGCAGCTGAGAAGTCAGCTGGTCTGAGAGGCTGTTAGCTGTTTGACATCACCGCAGAAGTTCTTGGCATGAGTGGACACAAGACCCAACACCTTCTCTCCCCAAATTTGGCTTTTCTTCACTTGCCGTGTATCGTGATTTGGCTTAAGCCAAGCATTGCCTGTTATTGTTTTTGGGTTTTTTCCCCTCATTTGTTTTGCTAAGATACTGGGAATCTCCAGCAGTTGAGGTTGAATGGGAGCTATATGTCTCTATCCCGAGAACTTCGCTATTAGGGGTACATTTCTGTAGGAGTAAGTCCTAGGCCAAATTCTGCCCCATATTCAAACATCTATGAGGAGGAGGCCCCCAAGGCCATATTTCTTCTCCAGCTTGAGAAGTTCCTGCTCTCTGCCCCCTGGTACAGCCACCAGCACCTGGCATGAAAGGTCATTCCAAGGTGGACACAGCGTTTCTGAGGGCTGAGTAGTCGGGTCAGGTGGCAGGAGCAATGGAGCTTTAGACCTGGAGTATTTTTGTTGTTTTTGATGTAACTTTACATACAGTAACTAAGGTACAAAAACTTCACGTTTAATCGCCATGATTTTTTTTTTTTTTTAAAGATTTTATTTTTTCCTTTTTCTCCCCAAAGCCCCCCGGTACATAGTTGTATATTCTTCGTTGTGGGTCCTTCTAGTTGTGGCATGTGGGATGCTGCCTCAGCGTGGTCTGATGAGCAGTGCCATGTCCGCGCCCAGGATTCGAACTAACGAAACACTGGGCCGCCTGCAGCGGAGCGCGCGAACTTAACCACTCGGCCACGGGGCCAGCCCCCGCCATGAATTTTTACATGTGTATCCATCCATCCATGAATCCACCACCCAGATCAAAATACAGAACATTTCCAGTGCTCCAGAAACATGAAGTTCTCATGTTTCTTCCCAGTCAGTATCCCCCATCCAAGGGTAACTACAGTCCCGTCTTCTGTGGCCATAGATTGGTGTTGCCTGTTCTTGAACTTCATATAAATGGGATCAGACAGTATGCGCTCTTTTGTCTGGCTTATTTCGTTCAACACTACTTCTGAGCCCTGTCCCTGTTTTGCAGGTGGCTATAGTGTGTTTGGGGTCGTATTCCATTGTGCAAATACACCACAGTGTGTTTATCCTTTCTCCTGCTGGTGGGCACTGGGTTGTTTCCATCTGGAAGCTGTCATGAATAACACACTATGAACATTCTCGTACATGTCATTGGGTGCACACGAGTGCTCCCTTCTCTTCAGTAGATCCCCAGGAGTGGAATTGCTAGATCACAGGACATGTGCGTTTAGCTTTAGAAGGGTCTACCAGTTTTCCATTGTTTTCAAAACTTACCCTCCCACAGCAGTGTGTGAGAGTCTGGCCTCCGCATCCTCACCAGCATGGTACTGTCAGCCCATGGCTGGAGACCCTCTTGTTGAATGGCTTCCCCGATGCTCCATCATACAGCAAGGCTTCTCTCTTCCTTTACAACACCACCTTGCTCCCGAGGGAGAGTGATGGACTGCCAAGGTGCTTTTCACCTGGGGAGTCCCCCATTGAGGGGCTGGGTGAG